TATGCATTATTTCGGTTTTTTTCATATGCATTATTTCGTATGCACAGTTTCCATATGCACAATTTCAGGGTGCCTTTTCGAAATAATTCGCAAAGGTGCATACATATTTTCTGAACGCAAACTACAAACACGAATTTTGCAAGCAAATCGATTTCAGCGCCACCTGGCAGCCAGAATATTCATCCTTATGTAAGCTAACAAAGCCTAACAGGCCTAAAAATGGTGCTTACTACATTTGAGTCTAATAGGAGTCCTTAGCTTGGGCTAAATTTATACGTTTTTTTTTAACTAATTAGTAAAGTTAACAACGAACATTAAAAAAAAACTGAACGCTAAAAGAAGACAGAGTACAAATGGAAAATCAAGTTTCGTTTTATTTTAGTTGTCAAACGGTAGGAAAGAAAAATTCTTCCGCAGTGTTGATTTAAACTAGGTCATGATTTTCAAAAATAAATTTTTGGTTTTTGCTTCGGCTAAAATTTAATATTTAAAGAGGCCTGTGAGGTAACACCTTTCCTTAAAAAAAATAATTATAGAAATCGGTTATATACTCCGAAGAATTGATAACCTTTCTCCTTTTTGTGAAGTCGGTTAAAAAATATAATTACTTCAAGAAAAAACATTACAAAAATTCAGTGTGGTGTAGAAAATGGGTTTCAAATTAAAGAGAAAACTCTGTAGAATTAATGCCAATACAAATTTGTGGTGCGTAAGGTAATGTCATTTTAGAATTTTATCCTTTTATATCCTTGAAATTTTGTAACAATTATTTTTGAAAAAGTTATATGTTAAGGACTAATAAACACTCGACCACATCGTCGATTTTTGCCTCTTTAACTTTGTTAGCCTAAAAAATAAAATTGATTAAAAGCGCAAACAATTTTTTTTTTTGTTCTACAGCATTTTCTCTTTAATACTGTTTTTCTACAATACATTTTTTTCAATAATTTTTGGAATTAGTAATATCTTTGACATAAGAAATTCCGTAAAAAAAATCCTGAGGCAGAGAGAAAACTAAAAGCGCCGTTTTACTATATTTGGCCTACAGTTTCGAGGCTATATTGATTGCTTCGTGTGTTGCGAAATCTTTTTGCTTTTGTCGCACTGAGTTATCATTCCTAGACTCTATACAATCTTCATCCCCACCATTTTTTTTTCACACAAAATCGCACAAAACTTTTTAGTCACCATGTACACAATCACTCAATCTGATAGCAGTATTAGTTGACATCTTTCGTGCATAGTTAGGTACAGATCCTTCGGAAAGAAGTCCGTTTTACTGAAGTTTAACTTTTACATACGAATGTTCCACCACTCCACTCTATGTACTCCATTAAAAAATGCATTAGTCTTAGTACCCCGTTGTGAAAACAAGCTACAATCTTGGGATCCATATTCCAATTCTTGCCGATAGCTCTGGTGAAAGGTATACAGCCATTGTAGCTTTGAGAGCCTTTTTTTATAAACGATAGGTCACCAATTTAATTTGCTCTTCAGAACAGTGCCTAGATATTCAGCCAGTTTAGCCTTCTCCAATGTTAAATAAATTAGATAGATTTTTTGGAATCAACTTCCAAACCACGACGTCTACACCAGTGTGAGGGCTTATTAAGTAGGACCACTCTACTGCCGCTGCTTTATATCTCTTTCAGCATGTTGTCTATATCGATGTTTCATAAAAAGTTTTGAAAAAAAGAGTCTGTATTCATAATTCGATGTTTGTGGAGGTTGTTGACAATCGCTATGAGGTTTTTGCAGAGGCCAAACTCTTAGAGCGTCTGGACTAATATTATTGAAAGTACCGTTTTTATTCCAAACCGATAGGTAATGCGAAGATTTTTCGATGTTATAGTTAAAGAAAATCTGTTTATACAGTCTTAAATTTATAGAACGCGTGTTGGACAGCCAAGAGACCTGCGGATCCAATATTGCTCTTCGGCAATTCGACAACTTCGGCAATAAAGTAGTACTCAAAAGTTGAAATGTAAGATTTTTTTATCGCAAAATTCAAGAGTCTACTTACTTATATTATCAAATACTGTGTTCAAACTAATAGTTTCCATTTCAATTGTCTTACATGTTTTAACCCGCAATAAGTAATTGGAGTTCTATACCAACAAACCGACCATCAAACTAGAGTAAATAGGCATTTTGATAACATAAAACAAAAAATCTATGACCAAGACCACGATTTATCGAATTTCAATTTGATAGATTCAAAACAATTTAATGTCTATCTACCTAGCAACATGAATAGCTCAATTGAACTTTAGCTTTATCAGCCAATTTGAAATCACTTCAGACACCAAAATTCAAACCATAAATTACAATGCCAAAATAATGATTACAAGTAACCGTGAAAGGTCCCCAAAGCAGGAAAGTCCTCTCACGCATCCCCGAAGGACTTCAGGCTATTTAGTCTATGTTCCTTCTTACTTAACATGTTGGAGTGGGTAATTGGCCTGTATATTAGAAACAGGATATCAGGCTGAAGCATACTGGATTTTATCTCCCTCTCTCCCCGGAGTATGGGCACTCGGCTAGCTTATAGTAACCGTTCGGTGTGTGCCGAGGATGGATCCGAGAGCGATATTCTCTACACATATCACCTAAAGGGACATATGTGGAGGAGGGGTGGGGGATGACTGGAGCAAGGGGCCGGTGAATATCTTCACGTATGGGTAGAAGCTTACAGGAAACTGCTGTGCCTATGAAGTGTCTAGGCAGGTAACCTTAGAAACCATCACCAGCGAAAGGGAAGTTATGCAACCTGCGGACTGCTGCTGGAAAGCTGAGCGTTTAGTGGGCTCAGCGAACGCTGGGCGGAAACATCGAAATGCAAGGGTGTAAGGTCCTTTTGGCCGGCTGTTGATCGCAGGAGATCTAGGAAACTTCTACAGCTTGCTAAGCGACAAATCTCGGTTTTGATGGGGGTTCTGACTGGGCACTGCCCCATGGGAATTCATGCGCTATGGCTTAATATTGCTGCGCAACCGATGTGCCGCAACTGTCTGGGTGACGTTGAGGTGGAATCATCTCAGCAGTATCTTCTCATCTGTCCTGCTTTTGCAAGGCTCAGGTTTAAAAATTTCGAGTCGTACTTCATGGTTGCTACTGAGAAACTCTCTAGAATGAACATCAGCTGCTGGCGGAAGTTCATAACCGGCACCCAGCGCCTTTCTAACTTTACTTGATTAGCTGTTTTACCGTTTCAAGATAATCTTTTTTCTTTTCATGGAAACACAATATACATTTACTTACTGTCTAAGTAATAGCCCCTTGGAGGGCTGCCACCTTACCTACCCTAACCTAACCGTGGAAGGAGCAAAAGTGACATTTCTAAATACAAAAAAAATTAGAAATTGAGTACTTTCGTATTTAATTCATGGTTGACCTTTAACCTAATTACACCTCGGCATCAACCTTAGCCTACTCACTCACCTGGAACCGATAATTTTCTTTGATGAATCACCATCGCTCTCGGCGCCAAAGGTCACTGCCGTCTCGTCATTAGCAGCAGCAGGAGTTACAGTGTGTTGCGATGGCTGCTGTGGTGTTACCGAAACATTGTATGCAAAACCGGTTTGGTGACTGGCCTGTGCTGGCGTTGTAGCCGAGCTACTGACACTGGCAGCTTTGTTATCACTTGTGGCGGTAGTGGAGCTCGCCGGACGTGTGGTCGACCATTTTGTCGACATCTGATTGGCACTGCTGCTGCTGCTGCTGCTGCTCGTTTTTGTTGTGGTCACATAAGTGGCGGTGGTGTTGGGCCGCTTTGTTTTATGTTGATTTGGATGCTGCTGTTGCTGATTTTGCTGTTGTTCTTTGTTTATTTGCGGTTGTGGTAGTCGAAATTCGTAGACACCGCCAGTGCCCAAAATATCACTCGTTTCTTCGTTCACAGCATCAGGTCGTGGGTCATTTGCATAGTTGCTGGCCAAGCTGCTACTGGTCGCCTCCCGTACGTGCGCCGCTTGAGTGGCCGCCGCTAGTAGCGCGGCAGCTGTCAGCAGCCATAACACGTACACACGCATTTTTGCGGCGGTCGCGAGTGTTCGACCTCGGATGGCAAACCTTTTACGCCTCAGCTCCTATGAAATTTCGCACGAAATCTCCGTTGACCAGCGACAGTGCGTTTTTCCCCCTTAGCGGCTTGTTGCGGGTTGATGTGCAATTTTCTTTGCGTACTTTGTTGAAATTTTCACTTCAACTTGTTAGAATTTAGATTTTTTGTTGATGCCGTTTTCTGTACTTTAATTTTGTTCACTTAACGGCTTTGTCTCCTTGCCGTTCGGTCCTTTGCGCAAATTTTCTTTTCAGGCTTTTAAACTGCTGTCTATCTAAAGATTAATTTAAATATTGTTTTATGCAAGTTCGAAGCTTTGCGTCGTCAAATTCTCGTTGTGGCATTTGATTTGGGTCCACTTAGAAAGCGTAAAATAATGAAAAATCTGAAAAAAGTAAAGAAAAAAATAAAGAAATCAATTAACGCTTAAAACAAACTCAAACGCAGAAACGAAATAAGCTACCACCTGTCAAATGAGAATGTAGAAATGTAAGCAGACCGAAAAAGTAGGTACTAAATTAAATATGGGTATCACGGTAAAAATAAGAAAATACTTTTCCAAATATTTCTGTTGCCTACTCAACCATTCAAGTGGTAGTGGACTACTTTTACTTGCCATCATCATCATCATCTTCTAACGGTCGTTGTCTTTGCGGTGGTAATTTTTTTGATTGACAATAAAGTATTTATCATAACTGATTTGCATTATAAGCGTTTCTGCTTTTCGCCTACACGTTTGCTCCTCATTTATTTCACTTTTTTTCATTCACAAGGGATACCGAAAAATTTTAAGGCCACGATTTTTTGCTTTTCTGTCAATATGTCCCTAAAATTAATCTGCGTCAGTCAGCGCGTGAAGGCTTATCAACTTCGGAATTAATTGAGTGTCACCGAAATAATGCCGGAAAACAATTGAAGAGGATCAAAATAAATAGAAATTTAAATGTTCTCCGAAATGCAAACAAAAGTCTCAAAATGTGTGAATAAATCATCAGTAGGGCACTTAATAGATCAATTAACTGGTTTCAAAGGCAGTGAATTCGATGAAGTGGAAAAATAAGCATTTAATTTTTGTGTAAATATTTTTAGCTTAATTTTGACTTCAAAACACTACATAAGACTCATTATTTTAAGGATACAAGTTTATGAATGGAGAGGCTAAAAAATGTAATTTGTAAGATATTAACTGCCGGTTTAACCAACAATTTAATTGAAAAATGATTAAATTAAATAAAAAAAAAATGTTATTAAAGGACTTTTGTGAAACTCGCTATAAGAAAGTTTTCGAAATACTTAATACCGCAATGGTGCGCATATTTAGCTAAATCATAAATTAATGGTAATAACAAAACTTAAATATTGCCGACAATGTCATCTATAACTACATAAATTAAAATAGTAACAACTATTGTTAGACAATACTATAGATAATACTAATAACGACTAGACGCGAATCTACGGGGGGAAAGGGAAAGGTACCCCTTCCCCTCTCCGGTAGATCCGCGCCTGGTTGTAATACGTGAAAAAATTTAACCATTTCTTTTATTTTTCATAATTTAATATAGAATAAAGATTTACATTTTGTTGACTTTTAAAAATGTCATCGCTTCTACCACCTGTATTATAGGCGATCTGAAAGCTTGTTGCTTTCCATTGTTTTACATTTTTCAAGCTTAGCATACAGCTTTAAAGAACAATTTGAAGAAATTTATTTTTTTTTAATTATTTTTGAGCTTGAAAAATTACTTTACCTTTGATCATAAGTTTTTTGAGCAAATAAATATACGAGCATTTTTGAATGAGCCACGACCGAGAACTTAAAATAACAATCAGTTGTATGGGAGCTATAAGTTATAGTAGTCCGATTTTGACGGTTCCCACAAATGATTAATACATTGTAAAAATACACTCGCTTACCAAATTTCAGTCGGATAACTCGAAAACTGGGGGACTAAATTGCGTTCAAACCGACAGACAGAAGGACTTCGCTAAATTGTTTCAGCTCGACGTTTTGATCATTTTGGCAACCATTTATATGGGTCTACTTCTTCTGGGTCTTCTTCTTCTGGTACTAAAAACATCAGACCAAATTTACAATACCATTTCATGTTCATGAAAGGTATAAAAAATTATGGAAATATTGAGCCGTACGCTCGCGACCGATACTTAAGCTTATAAATAACAAACTAATAGAGATATTTCAACGCCAAATTAGTTAGGAGGATGTGACGTTATTCCATTTTAATATAAAATTAATCGCTTAAGATTATTCTGTTCCATTTCGCAGTTTATTGCATTTTTCCAATTTGCAGCCAAATCCGACTTCCAGTATTCCGCCGTTCGCGTCCGCATGTTTTCAAACGGAATTTGCAAAACATATTTGGGTATGAATTTTAGTAAAGCAGGTACAAGTTTTCAGCTGCTTAAAAGTCGTGTGCATTTTTAGTAAATTTTTGTGAAATTTATAAAAACTAGAGCTGATTTTTGAATGTTTTTGCAAACTACCTTACACATTTTATTCTACAAGAAATTTACGTTTATATGGAAAAAAGTGCAAAAAAGCCGTCAGTAAAAAAAAAAAAACTAAAAATCAGCGCGATTTTTTAGGCACTTAAAACTTACACTTGTTTTACTAGAATGTAAGGCAGGTAACTGCATACCAACATTTTTGTTTTTTAAATTCAGATTAAAAAGTTCAAAGTTGTTATGAAATTTTTTGGAATTTTTCTAAATTCTGTATTAAGAATAAAAAGTTCACTTGAAAAATATTGCAAATATTAAAAAAAAATCACCTTGCACTCACTTTTGATCGCCAGTATACATATTTACATATATGCATAATAAATCTAGTTTATGTTTACTTATTAACACAACCATTAAATAAGGTACATACTTATGAAGGTCCCTATCAAAAATTCCACTATTTTTTGGAGTTTTTATGGCGGATTCCGGTAGAATTGTTTTTTCGATAGGATTTTTGTTTAAGGCTACCAACACGTAAAAAAGGGCATTGTAGTTTAAAGAATAAAGTTAACCAAAATCAGATTTTATTGTGTATATAAAAAAAAAACCCTCCATTAACAACATTTGTTCCGCAATCTTTGCTTTTGAATCGAATAAATTCGATTAGAAATCGGCGTGGTAACATTTTATATAAAAATATTCAAGTAAGTATTTATTCAGTAGCTAACCACAAAGCAAGGAAAATATATTTTTTTCACTTCATAAACCATTTTTCACTAACATAACCTAAAATTGGATCATTAAAAATCCTTATTGAAGTAAAGAAAAAGACAGGAATATTTATGTGCCTATGTAGTTTTATGGAAGTGCAGCTAAATAGTTGTCTACAAGCGTCCCAGTGCAGCGCCGACACTCTTGTCGGCAATTGAAAAACTGTCGATTTTCTACGCCAACTTTTAAAGAAACCACAAGAAATGTCTGAAAGTTTTTGATAAAAAGGAAAGTGCAGCAGCAGCAGCAGCAGCAAAATGGCATATTACCGCCACTTACTCCTTTCTTGCTTTCGACTTGAGACACTCAAAACAAAATCTAGCCAATTTCGACACTTTAACGCTTCATGAAACCGCTAATGATATACACACTTAAGTGATCTGTGCGTTCCCTGCAAGCCAATTTTCCTGAAATCTTAACGAAATCACTCATTTCTTTGACGATTTTTTTACGAATCTTCCAAGAAAATTATATGAAGTGGTTGACACGAACTCGTAAAGAAATTTCTGTACGAAAAATAAAGAAAATTCTGCAAGATTATTTACATTGCTTTACCGATTTTCCTCCGCAATTTCGTAAAAAAATCGAAGTAAGCACAGATTATTTTATCTTAGAGAATTCGGCAAAATATCGGATGAGATCTTTACGAATTCTTTAAAATTTCTTTGCAATTCAGAATGCTCTGAATAAATGGTTTGCAGGGTTATTGTTTTCGCTGTCGCTACAATGTTCAATTGTTGTTGCAATGCCGCCATTGCATTCGGTTAGGAGGCAATTAAGCGCAGCCATAGTAAGCTTTGTGTGCAGTAAATTAGTTTGGATATGCGTTTACTGCATACAAGTAAGTAAGTAAGTATGAGCGTTGAGGTGTGTATGTGTGGGTAAGTAGGTGAGTAAAGTAGCGATGCCAGCGTTGATGGCACAGTGGTTTTGGTGGTGTTGGCAAAAGCCTTATTAGCATAATTAAACCACCCCCAATGCGATGTTGAATGCGTTGAAATGCCGGTTCTATTCTAGCTGGTTAGGTTTTCTTGGATGTGGGTGTGTATATAAATATGTACTTATGTATAGCACGATTACATGCAAGTTTTTAAGCTCACTTTTGCGAGCATATTTGCTACGCTCTGTGAAGTGACGAGAGATTTGCGTTTAGAACAAATACTATGCGGTTTACTTTCGACATCCTATTGTTTTTTTTTTTACTTTTCTTCTTGCAAACGTTCCGCTTGTGCATTTCAAACTTAAGATGCGCTTTGAAAGTTTGTATATATGTGCATACATATATTCAGCTGAGATTTCTTTTAACGAAAAGTATACTAATTGAAGTATTTTCCATAAAATCTTATAATTGGCAGGAGAAATAAAAAGGAGTACACTTTTTAAAGAGCAAGATTGAAAATACGAAAATGCCGCTTTCTATCTTTTTATGCAATAAAATACGTATGTATTGCCTTGAGGGCCAGCGCTCCAATTGTCTAGTCTCTTTTATTCATATCGAAATAATAATGGATTTGCCTAATGGTCAACTTGGAAGATGCCCCCAATAAAACAGCCGTTTTAGCTGTGAAAAGAAGAAAAAAGTTCCTCGGAGTGGCATTTGATTAGCATATAAAGGTAGTGTGCAGATTCTTTTTGTGCTTTCGTGCATAAACATAGTACACACGTATGTAAGCACATCCAATATACACATAAAGAAAAGGACAGTATGCCGCCTGCCTTAGTTTATTATAATAAGGCTATTTTTAAAAGGCAACATTTTCGTATAATTCATATTTTTTTAAGGCTCTTCAAATTCATAAGCTTAAAAAAGTAAATCAGAAAAACTCAGAGAACCACAAAAATACATTCGACGATTTTCGGAATTGACAGTTTCAAAGGCACCGAAGGTCACTTAAGTAAAAGAAAATGATGTGAAAATAACGGCAGAAGTAATGTACATAAGTGAGTTATGCCACTATATTTATGTATGTATGTATGTATGTATGTATTTATGTATGTTTGCATGCAGGAATGTTTAATAGTGTGCGTGCTAAACCGTCGTCATTTGTGTTATTTCCTTTCTGTTATATATTTATTCATATTCCCCACAAAGTTGTAGTGCTTTGGGTTTGTCATTTGGGTATTAAATGCAAAACAATATGTTAATATCTG